TAGCTAAATAGATATAATTAATAAATTTCTAATATAAATATATTTAATATACCTGATTTTATCAAGAATTATTAGAAAAGATATAAAAAACTATATATAACTAGAATATAATATTAAAATACTAAAAAATAATTATAATTATATTATTTACTATCCTCAGACCTGTTTAACTATATTAAATATTATAAATTTCTATTAACTATAATTAAATACATTAAAAAATATATTAAAAAATCTTGTTATAAGATAACAGGTAATATCTATATATATTTAATTAATATTTTTTCTAATATATGTTAAAAATATTATTAGAAACCAGGCACCTATCATAGATCTAGAAAATAAATAAAAAAAAGATCTTAAGAAAAAGAATTTGAAGATTTATATTTAAATTTTCATTATTATTCTTATTATCTAAGTTTTTTATAATTTATATATTAGAATACTGGATATATACTACAGTCTTAATAATATTAATAAAATTAGAAAGAGCTGAGATTTAATTAATATAATTAATATTGTCAGAAAGAAAACACAAGAATAATTCTATTTTATATTATTATTATATTTTAACAGAAATATTTAGACCAGAGTAAGAAACTGACTAAGCTAAAAAAGTATAATATAATATAATAAATTTATTATACTTAATAATATATTTCTATAAAATTCTAAATAATTAATTATTATATTTTATAAATTCTTATCAGATCTTATAATTTATATATTTAATAATCTTAAAATTCTTTAAACTAAACTTACAAGTATAGACCTCCTCTGTATTATTAAATATAATAAATAAGATAAAGATTTTTTTTTGAATTATTAATTTTATATTCTTATTCTAATATTTTTATTTTAATATATTAGTTATCTATTTAATATTATTATTAGATTATAAGTATTTTCCAGGACTCCTGCTATCGCCTAAATATATTAACTAATAATCTTTTAAATAATTATATAAAATATATAGATTTATATAACTTTTTTATATTAAAATAAAAGTAATATAAGATAAAGATATGTATGTTTATAAAATAGCTGATATTATAAATTATTTTTTTAGTTAGATTAAAGTTCTTATTAATATATTAAAAGTAATATATATAGAAATTATAATAAGTCTTAATAAATATATATTATATCAGGTAGTAAGATCTACCAGATATTCTGATTAAAATATAATAGAAATTAATAATAATAAAGAAGTATTAACAGGAATAAGATTATAATTATAAAATATTAGTAAAAATAAAAGAAAATATAATAATAGAATAAATAATATAATAAATAAAGAAAGAAAACGCAATACAGAAAAAGAAGATAAGAGAAAATAATAAAAAAAATAATATATAAAAAAAGTTTTTATTTATCTTATAAAGTAAGTAAATAGTATAGATCTTAATATAAATTAAATTAATATTACTAATATATATAGACTCTGATATATTCTATATTAATATTATATTTATTTTATAAGTCTTTTATTTTAATTATCTTATTATTTAATAACTTCCTGCTGTTATTATTTTATCTAATAATTATAAAACTATTTTTATTTATACTAATCCAGACGGTTCAGCTTAATAAAAGAAATATTATTTATAATAAAATAAATTAGTAAACCGGCTGACCACAGCTAAAGATATTAAAATAATATATTATAAAAGTTATTAAAATCATGAGATTATTAACAGTAATTCTCAAGTATTCTGTTCAGTATATAGTAGTAATCTTTATTAATTTATTACTGATCTTTAAGAAATCAGTCTACTCTGTGGATATAGACTACCTTATTGTTATTCTATGAATCTATAGTATTTCATGGCAGATTCCTTACCTGGTCAACAGGCTTTCTACCCTGACAAGTAGATCCTATCACATATAAATTTAAAATTATTATTATAGGTAATACGATAGTTACATAATCTGAAAGTACTTATTAAGCCATTTTGGATCGCGCCAGTGAATTAACGACCATCCCTCACCTGCACCCACGCGGGTGTATATAGACATGACTGCAGTTGGACAAGAGCTGGGCAAAGTAAGAAATTAATGTATAGATAGATACAGTCAAGGACAAAGATTTCTAATTACATATAGAAATGGACTACTTATGCTCAAAGATTTCCAATTACTTGAATCTCAAATACTTGCCTTGACATTCCTTTTTGCTTTGATACTGCTTTCAGCGTGAGGAGATATGGCTAGAAGGATAGGATCCAATGCTGCCATGTACGACCATTGTTGGGTGTTCCAAAGTCCATACTGGTGCATGGTCAGGCATGATGGGTAGCTGTCTTGGGCGTCTGGTGTGCGGATATCTGCTTCCCTGTCATTTTATCCTTGAGATTCCTGTTCTCAAACTCCCCTGACTCGAAGGGCTCAATCCGGAGTGTATCTTTCCTGAGATGGGCTAAATATCTATTATCATGTTCTGCGAACATTAGGAAACTCTCGTACTGATTTTGTAAGAAGGACGGGGGTAGCACACTTTACCCCCTGCTAGCCAGATTCGGCTACCAACTGTATTATACCATCCTTGAAACCGCCCTCTTCCCATACCGTATTCTAACCGTATCACTCCCCATGCTACCCTCATTTCTTATCAGATGCAGTGATCAGTGCTTACCGCCTGCCATTACTTTCTGGTTTTTGTATTTACCATCTAGTTGCTGTGTTGGATGGGGCTCTCCAGGATAGAATCTGGTACAACTGAGATACTGCTGCATCCATGATGCGTGTGGTTACATTATTCTTACTTACTTCGAGCACTTTATTAAAGACAACGATTCTGCCTTAGCTTGCAGTTTGGTCAGAAATGTGGCCCAAATAACTTAACCCTTGCAGTAACTATTACCCTATACCAGTAACCACTCTATCCACACAGCTATATATCATGATGAAAATATATCTGGCTATCTCTATTATTCCAGTATTTGCCAGCTATGGCTATGCTGGTCCCGCGGCCTACGGAATCTGCTAAGCCGGCTGCGCAGCTGTGGTGATGGCTTGCTATTCAGCTGCTGGCTATATATGGGGAGCTACACTCAGGGCCAGAGCACCAGCTTCGATAGTGGCCTGTAATAGCGTGTTCGGAACTTGTTGTTCTTCTTGCGCTGCTACTCTCTTGACACCAACCCTTTGATTGTCAGGATTTCGTGCAGGCAAATCGGTATTCGGGAGAGTCTCGGGACCCACTATCTGATCGGGCTGAAAAAATATACCTTAAATTGCCATGGCGCTCTTTTACAGTTATAGCTGCTTAATCTGCCTTTAAACATAATATTATGTCTGAATGCTACATCAAAGTGGCCACCAGACAAGTATCCTAGTCAATCTCGTACATTGACCTGGAATAAAATGTATGAAAGTAAGAAAGTATAAGAATTCATGTACCTCTGCTGCCTAGTATCCTATATTAGAAATTTCTATCACGGCATGTGATTCAACTAAACAGGATAAAGCCTCGGACGTGAATAAACATACACAGAATGGTATGGTAATGTGCGGGATTAATGATCTTCTTCACCTCCTTGAACTACTAAGGAAGATTGACAAGCGGCGTGATAAGAGGTCATGTAGTGACCAAAGGTCTGCCTATGGTGAATTAGTTGAAGGAAGTGAATTTAATGTCCCCACTAAGATTAGGCTTTTATCAGTCATCTAGGTACTGCCTGTGTATGTTTTGGTAAATAATCTACCTGGTACCGGGTCCCTCTCGTTCTAGTACACAGCGAAGAATCTTAGGTGGTATCTCGGTCCCAGTGCTTTCCCAGGTGAGTGTACCGAATCATCCTACAGACCGCGACAGTTGACTTATTTCGGTACGGTTCTAGATGAGACAAGCTGTAACCGGTTTGATTTCTTTACTAAAATCACTGAATAGCTTTATCATATCTGATGCGCAGGATGATATGAAACACCTTATTTTTGTGTCCAAACAGCATCGCGTCCTCCTTTGACAGCTAATAAATGCGAGAGGCGGTGTTGACATGGTACCGCGCCACACCTGGTCTGCTGTGATGGGCTGTGACCATGATTTCTTCAAAAATTACAAGGCAGATTACTATCAATGGCAATGCGGAGAGCGAGGAAGGGCATTATCCGCAAAGGACTACTATCAATTATACAGCAAGTGACTATTAATGATGACGCGGGAAACAAGGAAGGACATTATCCGCATAGGACTACAGTCAATTATAAGACGAGAAGTTACTATTGTTATAACAAACGTGGTAGGGCATTATATATTCTTTTTTGCCTCAATTATCCCGGAAAAGCATGGTGAGATAATGCTCCTCTGCGCTATCTGTAATCGTAAATATGTAACTTTGAAATAAAGTCTCTGAATGATTGGAACTATAAAAGTCTAATCATATGAGGAATAGTGCGACAGGGCTAGGCTTTGGGTTGGAGGGGGGGGAAGAAGGTTGGAGTTCTTAAGGAAGGCGAGGTGGTTGTGCAAGGCACTGTACGAGCCTGCAAGGACTCAACATAGCGCTTGCTGGGCGGCCTTGCTTACAGCATAAGCATGATCCAAGGCAGTGAAAAGGGGGAAACTAATGAGCAACCTGCGTTTATTTTCTATGTGAAGGTACTCGCAATTGGTGGCTGAAGATTGGCATGGTTTGCAGGACGGCTCTGTGCCGTCACACTGTTGGAGTTTGTCCGGGGTTCTTGTCCGGTCGAGGGTCAACACACTCGGATTTTTATCTAGCGGCACCTAGTTCGGAAATGAACACGCGGTAGACCTTTTCTAGCTTGGGCTTTATTGGCTCCATGGCTTTGGCTCATAGAGGAGGCTTAAGGACAGGATTCTAGTCCGGAAGAATTATCACATCCCAAAAAGGTAAATGGAGGTGTTTTATTAGACCAATTATCAATGACATCTAAAATGTCTAAGTATGATGTCTACCAGAGTGAGCCTTATCTAGAGTATCAGAAGCACAATTTCTTTAGAATAATAAGTTTGTAAGTACAAACAATTAGATCACTCACTCAACTGTCCAGTTGTCTAATCCATCCTGCAGCTTCTCGCGATCTTCGAAAAAGGGCTTAAATACTGTCTCCACGATGGTATTGGAATAGTAGCCCTTGGTATAGCCGCCCGTGTCCAGATCAGCAATACAAGATCTAATCAACAGCTTGCCAATAACCACCTGGGAAGACTGAGACAGTGCCTGGGCAAAGAGACGGCTAAATATTTACGAGGCCGCCTTAGCCGCGCATGGCGAGGAGAAGATGATCTGCGGCTCCTTATTAAGAATACTGCCGGTGACCAGGAAGAGCGGCTAATCACTGTTTTTAACACAGTCAGTGTTAGTATATTAAGTGAACCATTGGCCAGTAATTAAAGTACCAACTGCAGAAAGTTGCAAATCAGCTTCCAGCATCTGCGGGCGGAGGTCAGAGACATGAGACTCAGCAACATGAATAATATTATAGTTAAGCACATCTAGCTTTCCACCAAACTATTGCGCGCACCCAGTCTAGGGCTAAGGTGAGACTATCAACATTACTGGCATTAGCAGTGCGGTAGATTACTTTGGCCTCAGCACTTGTCTGGGCAGCTTACACTTCATTGGCGATTCTGGACAGGGCACTTTCTGACCGAGATACAAGGGCGATGCTCCAGCCCATGCTCGCGAGTCAAAGGGCCAGAGACCGGGACATCATTGAAATGATTCTGGCCTCTTCTTCAAAGAGAGGAGCCCAGACAATACTTCAACGAGCCAGGAGAGGTCAATGCACTATGATAACAGACTAATTTCATATGCATGATGTATTGCTGATGTCGAGGATATTTTGAGCAGCTTCTGTGGGAATGATAATCGATTTCCGTCGCAGATCCCCGGGGATATGCAACTATATTATCAGATAGCTGCCTTCAGTATTCAGGCTTCTCAACTTGTTGCTTGGTATTCCAGCTTCACAAGTACGGCTCTCATTTGAGGATAGTCACTGACTCTGCCTTGTGCGTTCTTTCCAGGTTTTTGTTGAGCATTTGCACCGGATGTTACCAGTCCATACTCAACTTTGATGTATTAAGAGGAGTGAGCAGTGTATGCAATATAACGGCAAGTCTAGCTTCTATATTCCATTGCTTCTATCGTCACCGAGGCATTGTAACTGGTTTTGTGATTCGCTGGCTCAAGTATCAGTGGTATAGCATTCCACATTCTTCAGAGATTCTACCTGGGGAACGACTGGGCGTGGGAATAGGGCGATGTCGGTGGTTTCCCAGTAGTGAGCGAGAGTAAGGCCCGTGATAGCTGCTCAATTCCTAGCCAAAGTGATTTCAGCCGGACTCGGCTTCTGCCATTAAAGCTGTCTCAGGCATGGGCCCCGTTAGACTCGAAAAGTTTTTAAAGGTTAAGCGGGACCAGAGACCCAGATATAGGATTAAAGGTATGTTTTTTTGTACTTCTAGACACGGTTTGAGCCGAAAGGCTGATTTTTGAAATTGTATTCATTGGTTGTTCGGAAAGATAGTTCTTCAACTCCAGAAGACCAGAGTGGCAATGGAAAATTCATATTATAGAAGTAAGAAATAGCAAGTATGTAGATATACATATACTGGATAAATGAATCTTACCCATAATTTTACATGAAACTATTGAGAACAGATAGCTGATGACATAGAAGACTGTATACAATATTACAAACTTTAACGGTAATTCGATATGATTAACTTTATTGGTTAGTTATGAAAGGCCTAAGTATGAGAAAGAGCAGAAAATGAGCATGATTGGATATTTACATGTAATTTATCTTAATTTTGAGATACATATACATATGGATCTAGTACGATAGATTCAAAAGGAACAATTAGTTTTACCTCCTATCCGTCTACCTGCTGAGATGCAAGTAATGGCTATCATAGTACGGCGAAGTTCGGGCTTAAATGACAACCCGTAAGATCTACGTAGACGATATATTTGGAAACTACAATACAAGTGTTAAGAGCGTTCTCTCGAGAGAGTCTCCCGTAGTGCTCGGGGAGACATCCTTATGGCTTTGCCGTCCGTGCCCAAATCAAACACAAACTCATCCAGCCCAACACTGCCGTATACATATGAATCAGCCAGTTCCCATGTCTCACATGCTCGAGTGAACGGTCCAATCCCAGAAGCCCCTGCGGTGGTGTCTTGGATTACGGCGCGGAAGGATTGCTGACCGGGACTTTTCAAGCCAGTGGGATATAATCGGACGCTAACATCCGAGACATCACTGGCTCCCAAAATGGCCATCATTGCATCGCGCATATCAACAGAGTTGCTCACCCATTCTTTAACATTGAGCCCAGGCCCGAAGTCCATAGAAACCGTCAAGGACGAATTGGTCAGGTTCGAAGAATAAACCCCAGCAAAACGATCGGCCGCTTCCGCCTTGGCCTGTTCCTCCAAGGCTGGGATAATTGACGATGCAATGAGGTCGGATAGATACGCGACAACGGAGGTTGTGTCATCTCCCGCGGCGAGGATGGTAAAACCGACATTGTGGTCTGGAGACAAAGCTAGCATGGACGCGTAGCTCCCGAGATCTCCGGCTTTAGTATAAACATCTATGACGCGAGAACTGGGAAATGAGTAGATTTCCCAGGGGGCGCCGACTGCAAAGTCTAGCGACGTGGTGTGGGTCACTGGCTTCATCCAGCGCCGACTCAACGCCGCGGGGAGCAGGGTGTTGTTGAGGATCGCGCGACCAATATTGACCATGTCATGAAGAGACGAATAGAGGCCTCCAGCACTGTTGTTGTCGTTGTTGTTGCTCTCGTCAGTCCAGGGGTCATTTACTGGAACAATAAGTAGGAAGGAGGCTCACGGCGTTTCATCACCCGCATCAGTGCTCCACAGGCTCGCGGCAGGGCTGTCCGGGATGATTCCATAATGGTCATCCGGCTTGGTATAACTCGAATGAGTCAGGTTCAGAGGTTCGATTAGGTTCTGAGTGAGTAGCGACTCGTAGGTGCGGTTAGTGATTGCTTCTAGCACATAGCCGATGATTTGGAATGCCGCGTTGGAATAAATGGGAGTCGACGAGGTCGCGACAACCGGATGCCTTCTCAGTAGACCATCGAAGAACTCTACGATGGTTAGCAAGACGGGTCAGTACAACATCAAGGAGAGACTTAACGGGTCCGGTTGCATGCAGTATTTGACCCGCAAGGAGGGATGGAACTGTTCAAAAGCCGAGGAAGACCATAGGCTTCTGGATCTGAAATCTCAAAGTAAAGGTCACCAAAAGCATCTGAGTTAAGTCAGTAGGCAAATCGCTATTCCTTCCAGCGTTGGGATGAATAATTAAAACTCACAATCCCTAGCGATACCCGCCATCTGACTAGCAAGTTCCCCGATCGTTACTTCTCCCCAGCGTGTGAAATCAATGGCATCCTGTCGCTGCGTACTATTCCGATGCAGCTTGACCACCGCATCACCGATTTCGGGTACGTATTTGGCGACTGGCTCAGTGAACACGGTATCGCCAGCTTCGATCAACAGCAGCAGAACGGTCCATAGCTTAGAGCCACTACCGATCCGAAAAACGGTGTTCTCATCCACCTCCCGGACTCCGACGCTAGCGTTCCGGATAACGGGAGCAGTATAGTATGACTCGAATAAGGGACTCAAATCATTGGCTGAGAAGACCTGCAGCGCTATCGAGGTGGCGTTGGGGTTAAAGGAAGGAATCAGAGATGTATCCCCAGCCACAGCAGCTTGGATGGCATGGGCTATGTCCAACTTGGCTGCTTCAAACACCGGGCTAGATGACAAATCTTGGGGAGCGGGAAATATTGGTCCGAGGAAAGGACAGAAGTCAATTAAGGAGGGCGTTGCGAGAGCAAAGGGGATAAGACAAAACATGAGTACAACAGTTGACTCCATCTTGGCACCGCTGTCAGACGATCTCTGGGGGTCTATACTATTTGTTAGATGATTGATGTCAAGGTGTAGTCTGTAGGGGTCCTTTTATATTTGAGAGGTAGGTCTCATCACTTGCGCTCTTTAAGAGGTATGATACCTGACCCCAACATGACCATTCAAATTTTACGATGCGGCCAATGAGTGCGTCTATATCAGTCTGACAGTGGTACAGCCGCATAGTACGACGCCCGCATTGGTGACTGCGAATAGTAGCCATTCTACAGGGTAGGTTTCATCGATCTGAAAGTCAAAACGTTAGACAAGCTTTGAGTGGCACGGATGGGGCCAACACGGTCATTGGCCAGATCGTATCTTTTTTCCCCCGAACCGAACCGCAATTTTGGGGGCAAAGACCCCAAGGCAACACAACAACTTGACTGCAATACAAATGTTTATTTATTGTGGGACTCAGTTTGCAAAAGTCAATCTCTGTAATTCAATGAACCAAAAGATGTTGCCGGGAACTTCTAAGTGTCATTTGACTAAGCCCATTCGACATACTCTACCCTGGTCCGCGAACCCCTTGTTGGGCCCTCGGGCATTAACCGCAGGATGACTTGACACGGACTTCTCTCAATCGCTTCCGGCATGATCGCATCGTACACGCGGCTCGTGACTGCTGGGATTCTATGTTCTACCGGAATGGTTGACCAGGCGGCCTCTTCCACAGCCACGACCAACTCCGCCACCTTCGCGAGCAGCTTCATATGCCACATCCCCTCCTTCTGAGGACAGGTGTGCAAAAGCCTGATGGCTTCACGACGGACCAACGGATCACGACATTTGGTCGCTGTATAGTACAAAGGTGGAATTATTCCGGCTTCTAGTGTAAAGTATCCCGGAGGAGAGCATGTTGTTTTCCGCTCACGGCCTCTGTCGGGCCGTAGAAATTCCGCGGCATGGTGTACGAGTTCCTCGAACCCAGGCTTATAGTAATCAAAGACCATCTCATCGCCAGCCAAACATGTTTTCATCCATATCAACGTCACCATGTATTGGACACGAAGCAAAGATGTCACACGTGATTCGGCTCTTTTGAACTTCTTGCGTCCCCCTTTCAGGAATCTGTTGAAGCGGGCATTCCAGGCACTCAGCTCTCGCTTCAGCATATCCTGCCGCAGCTGAAGAAAGGTGCGATCCGTGGTCCTTTCGTAGCCTGCCATCCTGATGAAGCGCATTGTTGTATTCATTAGATCATCCAGGGAATGTCGAGCATCTAAAATATCCTTCCAGTCATACTCTGCGCTCATCGGTGAGCCTTCAGCTCCTCCGTTGATCCCTCGAGGAGCCATGGCGCGTCCGTGAAGAGATAATTGAATATCTAGTCTGGTGAGAAGGTGAGACAGATCCGAAACTACGCCAGCGGGAAAGTCCAGTGCCCTCTGCTGTTGGAAGATAACCAATCCTGCCTCCAGATGGTCTAGAGCTTGCTTATTATTCCCTTTCAGCATTTCTAGACACACGAAAAGGCAACAAGTGATCAATGTCAGGCCCCGCTTCTGATCAGGTGAAGCGAGATACTCTAACAGAAATTTGATCGCTTTATTGTACTGCTGTAACGCGAATGCGTCTCTGTTACCCTCTATCTCCTTGGTACGATTCCCGGCCTGCACAAGGAAGCCCTCGTGAACGGCGCTCACCGCCGCGACTGCATGACGGACTACCGGCTCCGCCTGACTGAGCTGTGGTAAGAAATGGTTCCAGAAGTCCGAATCGAAGATGCCTGCGAACGCGCGGGTGGTCTGCGTACAGAAGAAATGCACATAATGCCGCTCCTCAGTGGTTCCGGGACGCAGGACGACACGATGGTCGGAGCCGATGGCGGGGTGTTGCACCTCCGGTATTCGCGATTTGTTCGGGCGCGGTTGGCCATAACCATCGCACTTACGACCGGTGCTGGTGCATCGCCTGCATTCTGGCTTTTGTTCATCACATTTGACATGTCGGATCCTGGAGAGAATGAGCCTAAATACATCATCTGGGGTTGAGAGCCCCTACTTGCAGGTCAAACATCCGGACTTCGTCCTTGGTTTGCTCGCCCTGGTACGCTTAGCCAATTTTGCTAGTTCTGAAGCCATGGAGGTCGGATCGTGGAGAAGAGGAAGTCGAAACCATACGACGTGGGGTTGTTAAACAGGAGCCTTGCGGCTCAGCCTCAAGAATGCCGTTGGCGCTTGGCAAAATACCTAGCCGCAGAATCCCGTGACTGGGCGTTTTCGGTTCTAAACTTGGACGTGCGCCCGATGACTAATCTTGGTTCACCGTAGTGTGCGCAGGTCAGTTCATTCGCCAACAGGTCCAGGATGTCATCCAGCCTCGGACGGGGCCGGACGTCAAACTCTTTGACCTCGAACTCGAGCCAGGTCATGTCAAAGAGGCTCCTTGTCGCAACAAGAACACCGCCACCGCTCAGGCCTCAAGTGATTTTCAGAAGTGGGTTGCCTCTCGCATTTTGAAGGTTATCGAGAATAAAGTGAGTTTCAGCATGCCTAGGACATGGAGATTCTCTTTACGCCGATCCCATGTGGCAGTGGCATCCATCGCTGCTTCTTGTCTTCCCCCTACAGTCCGATTCCTACGTACTCAACACAGACCGTCACGGATTTAAGTTACCTCGTTCATTGGTTGGTGGACAATCCAATCGATTGCGGGTAGGGTTCCGAAGGGAATATGATTATTCATGAATATTCAAGAATTTTTGTGCATCCGAATAATATGAATTGAATAATATGAATATGAATAAAGAGCTTATTCATATTCGCATTATTCATGAATATATGAATAATTCATATTTATTCATATAATAAAATACCTTACCTTACCTTTCGTTTCATTACGTTCGAGTACATCATCAACGCGTACACTCTGTTCCATGGTGAATTACAGGCTAATCTTCTTTCCGAAGCATTGGAAATGACATGCATACATAAAAAAGATGAAATTTGATTTTAAGACTTTTCTTTCAATAACATCAACCATCGCATAGTCTCCGCGTTCAGGCGATGTCTTCGGAGGCCTAAGATATTTCAAGTATTGCTGAACTCGCGTTCAACCCCAACCTCTGCCGAAAGGATAGATAGATAATCACGAGTAGCTTTTGCCATGAGTAGAAAATTAAATATATTCACCTTCCATTACTTTAGGACCCATTCTGCGTCCGCATCACCAATCATATGGTTGGACCAGTTGACCAGCGGAGAATCTAAATACTTATTAACATCCAATAGAAAAGTCTCTTTAGATGGCTGGACTTTGCACACAGTTCTCTACATAGTTTCCAACATCCCCGGTGGACGTGTATGGTTAGCTTCACGGGAGATAAGTAGCTCTGGAGGGTATTCTTTCTTTAAAAATTCCTGCACTTACAAAATGATAAGGGCCGAATCTTGCTTACTCATTTAAGACACAATCAAAGATAACTTAATACATAGATCTAAAACAGAAGCCACATAATAAAAAAGATTGTTATCTATTTTTCTAGCAAACTTATTCATCTTCTAAATGCCTCTCTCCACCACATTACAAATTTCAATACTTATATTTTCAAAATCATCCTCTATATTTTGAATATCATTCAACAGATTATCTAAACTCTAGTAAATCAAAAGACTTTCCACAATCATCAGACATATCTTTAAAACACAGTTTATATAGTTACAGAACAGCTTAAAAATCTTTACTACTTACTGAAGTGTTGACCAGTTACCATCAGTAAGCTGGAGAACCTGAATCTCTGGATATATTCACATAAATTGCCCCAGCTCAGTCTGCAGCCATAAGATATCTTGAATCATGATATATATTAAGTTCCATTAGATATCAACATCATAACTAACTTATTTACTCGGGGATATTTTTTTCCAATTTTAACAGCATTATAGACTTCGAGTAATCTCTAGTATCAGAAACCTAATTTTCATAATTACTTCTTTCATACTATAAAGAGAGTTGAACACTGGACTAACATAAATAGCCATATTATCTAGTATCACCTTTACTTCCCAAGCCGAGCCAGCCTTTAAATAAGCTAACATATCTTTGTAAATCAGGTTGAGAATATGAATAAAACATAGAATAAAGCTCTGCCGTCCACGGAACTGTATAAGAGATCTGATATAAAAGCAGTCATTATTATTATCATACTTCTTAAGAAGCTGGTCATGCAGGCTATCACAGAATATTCTATTATTACCTATATTATTCCCAGTGATAATCAGGAGCTTGAACATAATATCTAGTTTATTAAGTAACTTTAATATAACCTCCACTAGGTTCTCTCCAGAATACAGTCCATTAATTTCAGTAAACTCAAGGAGTTCATCTTGCTTTTCAAACTCAGGGAATATCCAGTAACCAATAATATCCATAATTAAAATTTAATTTTCCAACATCCACATATCAAAAGATAATACAAGTGTCCAACTACTTCTCTTGAGTTTGTCTCTCACATAAGCTCTATATAAGTAGAATTCCTTCTTAATCTGGCTGCTCAGAGTATCAGCAGTCTTAATAAACAAAAAAGTCTCTATTACTTTAATAAACATCTTTAAAACCAGATACTCCACTATTATAAAAAGCTGTCTTATTTAAATAATCTATTAAATTAATATCTCTTCTACACCAGCCTTGCTTCTTGACATCTCTAAGAATTAGTTAATATTTCCTTCAGCCACGGGTAAGAAAATAAAGCTAATCCCAGACTTGATAGAATACTTGGTTTAAAGATATACCAGCAAATTTGAAGTAGAACCATAACACACCAAATCCCTGGAGAACCAGTTGCAGTGCTCATATACTAGTAGTTAATCTTTATTTAGCAGGCCATCCCACCAATACCAAGTGCTATCAAGATCTGTAGTCTAAAAATACTTAACAATCTAACTAAAATATGACTTAGTCTTTTATCTTTTTAACAGGAGCAGACTCACCATATCTCTACTACTCTTCAATAATGCGGGATCAAGTAGAGAGAATAAAGAACTCACTAAAGAATAAAACTGCTTTAACTAAGGCATTTTATCAGTGTGTACAGGTAGGGAGGGCTCAGAAGAGAAAGAACTTTCTATTTCACTAATTAATTCCTCAGATTACTCTGAAGACAAGGAAACAAGGCTATTATATAGATATTATAGTCCTGACATGGAAGACCGCGAGTCCTCTGCAAGATCGGATGAGATATAGACACCATGCTACTGTTTTTTAGGATTACTATCTCAGGGAGATATCAACAGTAATGCATAACATATCTTGAGCTACCTGGATTGGCTGTCCTCCGGTAGAACAATAAGGAGCCGGCTGGCAAGGGATTCAAGGATGATTCTGGATGAAATCAATCATGCTCGCGCTTTTTATTCCCTTCTTGATATAGAAAATCAATAGGTCTCTTCTCAGCTTCCAGCGACGCGATCTTGATGGGTTTGAATGTAAACAAAATGTAGTTAGGGCTACTGAGAGCTCGGCGTCTTGCGACAAACGCGTTTTCATGTATCATTTATCGAGTTTATTATATAGACAGAGCTTGCAGCGGATTGAAGGTATATAGCATAGCTAAGCAGGTCTACACCAGAGGGGTAATGACATTGCAGTGCAATGCTATTAGGGTGCGGGAACCCCAAATATTTTAATCTACTCTGATTAGTCAGATTTCTGGACAAGGAGGGTGTAATACTATTATATTCCTGATTATAATACTATTATATTTTAGGAAGATTTTCTGTTAAAATTCTAATATATTTAAACTGTGCTATTTATTTAGTATCCTTTTAATTTTCAGCAGTATTACTATACTAGTGGAGTAGATAACTATATTTAAATCTAATAAGTTAGCAGAGAAATATTTTTTATTAAAATAATATTTTTTTATTACCTGTCTGTATAAATCATTAGTAAGCTTAGTCAAGATATATATATATATATATAATATATAACTACTCTCTACAGCCCAATTCTCTTTCTTAATTTTATTTTTATCTTGTAGTAATTCTATCTATTCTATATATTTTCTTTTTTCTACTTAATTTAGCCACTCTAAATACATGATGGAGTCTAATAATACTAAAGCTAAATCTTTTTTTTATATATATTATTTCCTGTGTTTTCTTATATACTGTAATTATTAATATAGAATACAGTTAAATAAGATTCATGGATATTTTAATACTAAATATATAAAGTAATTTATATCCAGTAAATAGCAGTTAATAATATTTCTTATCCAGAAATGGAATAATATTATATTTACTAGTATTAAATTTATTCTTTTTTATATTCTTTCTAAATCTGTTCCTATTATTCCAGAACTTATAAATAATCTATAATATTATTATAATAACTAGTCCTGTCTGTATATTACATGCAATATATATACTATATATAATTATTAATATTAAGTCTATAAATAATCTTAATATAAGCATACTGGTAAATTAATATTATTTAATATATAGATTACTATGATTAAAATACAGGTAAAGATTTATTATATTATCTGTTAATAAGTATTTTTTATATATAAAAATTTTTATTATATCCATATTCTTAACCCGCGTGAAATATTGTCTGAGAGAATATCTTTATTATTAATTAATATATAATAGACTGTGAAGTACACCCTCCAGGCATAGGAAATATATAAAAATATATAGATTTTAAGTATTATTATATCAGATACAGCAGCTGATACTAATCCATGGCTATAATTTATATAATAAATAATTTATTTATAAGAAATCTAGTCTGATAATATTCTTTACAGTATCAGTTTTTCTAATATATATAATCTAGTAAATTCTATATATTATTTCTTCTTACTAGTAGACTATGACTTAGAGTCTGAAATATCTACCAAGGATCTTCTTTAACTGGAGCCTGACTATCTAGACTAGCTCCAGTTAAAGAGAATCTCTAGTACTGATTCTAGTGTAAAAATAATTATATCAATTCTCTAATATATTCTTAACCAGCTAGTATAAAAGAGTTAATAGATTATTTAATACTATAGATCTATTATCTGGCTGGAGACTATGCAGATATAAATTAATAAATTATTATATTATATATTACTAGAATATATAAATATATAAAGTATCTATAAGTATATAATTTTATAACAGTAGATACTTGTCTTCTTTATATAAATCTAATAATTATATAAATAATATAGCTTATTTTATATATTTATTATCTGATAGCAGGATAAATAAATATAACTATAGCAGACTATACAGATTTCTAATAATATATTTATTATTAATAATAGTGGTAGTTATAATAATAATACTACTTATGAAGGAGATCCCCTGGTACTATAATTAATAAATTTATAAAAACAGATCTGTTTTAAATTCTATATTAAATTATTTAATTAATATTATTATAATAATAAGTATAAGAATATCCTTATCTATATAATAGTTATTTTTAATCATAGAGAAAGTAGATAGCAGAATCCAGAAATTTATTTATTAATTCTGTTAAGTATAATCAAGCTTATCTGGTTCTTTGTTATACAGAAGATACTGTAGCTTGACTTAATAGTATAATAAATTATTATAATTTAATAATATAAGTATAATAGTATTCTGTAGATTTTAATTAGTATAAACAAGGATTTAACAGATCTTGTTATAAGTATAGACTATGATTAGTATAATAGCTAATCTAGTTCTGATATTTTCTTTTAGTAATTTAATTTTATCTTTAATATTATCTTTAGTACTTTAGTCTATACTATACAGTAGTTTATTCTATTTACTATATATTTTCTACTAGGCTGCACCTTCTCTGAGCATATTAAGTCTATAATATAAAAATTTATAATTTAAAAAATATATAGATTTATATAGATTCTTCTTAACTGGTACACCTATGGACTGCAGATATATTATAATATTAATATATCTGAATATATTATATGGCTGGAAAGTAATAAGGTCCTGTATAAAAATATATAGTTTATAATAGATTACCTGTGGAGCTTTCTACATGGTCTTTTAAATATAATTAAAAGTATTTTATTATAATTATTATTTATAAAGGACTTTCCTGCTATTCTATAATAATATCTTTATAATAATTCTTACTGTATCTTCTCTAGCTGGAGCTTTCTGCAGGATCAGTATATTATATAGTCTGTAATAGAGTATTATTAGCTTATTATATAAGTATAAAAGAAAGTAGTATTCTAGTATGAGTTTATCTATATCTACAGTTTCTATTTCTTTAAGGTGACAGTATATCTTGCTTAGATTATATAATTTAAAGAGAAACTAGCTGTACTTATTTATATAATAGCTAGATAGTTAATATATATTTCTGAGCTTTTTAATATATAATACATGAATATAGATATTAACTACTGTTGTATTATCTATATTAAAAACAGTCTGATAATCCTGATTAGTATATACTATAAAAGCTTTTATACTAGTAATAATATCAAGATTATTTATTACTATCTTTTCTAGAAGATAGATAAGCTGCTGGTATACTATTTATAGCTGGTTCTATTCTTTATTTAATAGTTAGAGATTACTATATCTGCAGAATATTTGATATATATATATTCAGGCAATCCGGCCTGCAGGGACTAGAAAAATATATTATCTATAAAAAAACTATCTTATCTCTGGGGACCTGATCTGAGAATATAGTAAGTATAGATCTTAGAATACTTCTAGACTATGCTCCAGTGGAAGATTCAGGATTATCTAATCTAGACTAGAATTAATATTATAGTATACCGGGATATTATTATCAGTATTAATTATTATTTTCTCTGATTAACTAGTTATTTTATCTAAGATTATAGAGCAGAGTATATTACTAGTATAATAATTATAGATTCTGATAATAAGATCTATATAGATATTAATTAATAGATAAATTATATTACAGACCTGCAGGCTGTTTATTTCTCTTATATTATAAAGATAATATATAATAGGCAGGTTACTGAGACAGCTGGTATTATAATTTATTAATAGATACTCTTTTAGTTAAGTAGTATTAATTAGTATTATTTTCTCAGCTTTGTCTCTGCTGCTGATTATATATTTATAATATATATTTTATAGATATTAGTATTCTGGGAGCAGGCTGCAGCAGAAGACCAGATACTATAGTAATAGTATTTGAATATTATATAGATAATAATAATCTTCTAATAAATAATAAATAATTCTGGGATATAACTGTATAGTATACAGGTAGAGACTCTTTAAATAATACAGAATAGTAAAAATCCTGTAGTTATAGTCATGTATATAGATAGTAGTAAAAGCCTACTGTTTATACTTCTAGTCTTTCTGGAACTAGGTAATATTATTATTATTATTATATTATTACTGAGCCTGTAGTAGAATTTATTATA